GGGCATCTTGCTGTCACAACTCGAGCTCTTCAACTGTACAAACTCCTCAATTTCTAAGGTTCAATACCCATTTTCCTTTTTTAGAAAGAGAAACGATTTCATTAATGTAATGAAATGAGAGAGAGAGATATACAAAAGGGAAAAACATCCCGAATCAAAGGAGTTACAAAAAAGCTCTCTAGTTGATTTGATACCCATCTTCGTGAGCTGGGGAGTTGGATTTCTGGAAAGATGACAGGATTTTGAAATGGGCTACACTATCACACTTGCTATCCTGGGTGGTTCTCAAGGAGGAAGTTGATAGTTGGGCTTGGCCTTTGGAACCTTCATAGAAATTCAGTTAATCACTAGATATTGCTTTGAAGGTCAACCAAGGCTCCAAGCAAAATATTTTATACAGCATCATTTGAGATGGCATTTGCTCTAAAAAAAATCAATAGTTTCATATGGGAGCTTAACCATGGTGTATCAACACGAGTGATCGACTGCGTGAAAGGATGCCTTGTCATTTTACTTTTTTGGATAAGAAACTCGAAGTATAATCCAAAAAGAGGAGAAAAAAACTAAGGGCAAGGGTAGTATCTATTTTTATCGTCCAGGTGGGTTGCCATGTGCAAAAAGAGTTCAAATCTAAAAGCCACCTTTTTAATTTCTCCTCTTTTGCTTATTGCTATTGGGCTTATATGATGGAAGCTTTTGGATGGTCCAACATCCAAGACTTTTTGCCCTTTTGGCATATATCCTACTTGGCCATCCCTTTAGAGATGGAAAAAAGACCCACGGTTGTTTATCAACCAAGCCTTCTTTTGGATTCTCCAGTGTGAGAGAAACAACTGCATGTTCAACGACTCCACAATTCTTACAACAAATTCTTGGAATCGGTCCTTTTACCCCTTTATATTGGTGTAAATGTTGGCGTCCTTTCAAAAGCCTTACTACTCTTGCTTCTAGGTGGAGATGTTTTTGTAATCCACCTTAGGTGGATGGGAGGCCCCATCCTCTTTCTTTTATGTATAAATTTGTATTTCATCCCATCAATGAAATCTTCATTTCTGTCTCTAAAAAACTTTTGTTTTTAACAAGAAACAAACTTTTCATTGATAATATGAAAAGGAAGAAAATGTTCAAGAATACAAACTCCCAAAGAGAACAAAAAAAAGACAA